TTTCGATTTATACGAAGTAGCTAGGTACTCAATTCTAAGTAGACGTACGTCGATTTTCAGTTCGTCTCTGTGTGAGAGAAACTACAATACTTTTTTCTTAACTATTTTCCAAAGAAAAAATCGATGACCATTCTACGGTTTTTGGAAACAAATGTAACATGCACCTTAAAACCAAAAAAAAAATGTAACTTGCACCAAAATATATGAGCAACTTTTAAAGAAAAATAGAAAAGAAACACACAAATATATATAACCTCTTTTTTTTTTTTAGTTCACGAATGTATGAATGAAAATGCGTTTCTATATATAGCCAATTGCATAATGAATGTGAGATTGTATACAACAAATTTAGAAACCTAACTCGTCTACTCTACATCTCTACGCATTCCCGAAACAAGTCAATTCCACTAAAGAGAATTGAGAGACAATACATGGAATTGATCTTAACACACAAGTGGCCAAACTTATAACTGTGTTCTCATCATCATGTTTGTCTAAATCTCATATGATCTTTTAAATTTATTTCGGCCGGTGTTTTATGAACGGTATTCTATTAATTTCTAAATATAAACATTTATTATATTTTCTTCACAAAGCTCTGGGCTTCTTTTCTAAAATTAATCTATCAATATATACATCATTAGATTAGGTTAGGTTGCATATGGATTTTTTACTAACTTATGGACCAAAGTCCAAACTCTTCATGAGACATGCAAAGGCTAACTGAAGATTTGTTCCTGTTATAATTGTATATATGCATTAAAATCTACAAAATAAATCAGTAAAATCGAAGAGGATTAAAACTCTATAGTTTTGTAGAAGGAAACAAAAAGAAAAGGTAATTTTTATTCTAGAGAAGAACACTGTTGTTTGCCCTAGAGACCAAGGCACTGAAATCGAGTTGGTATTAGTAGTACACTTAACGTTTTCGCACACCCCATGTGCATTGTTCGTCCTCTTCTAAAAGGGTGTTATTGTCTTTTCAATTGTTTTAAAATAATACGTCTACACACTAAATTGGGGGAAAATACACGTCAGTCATTAATATAAGAGGTTCTTGCATATCGAGAAAAATAATAATAGTTGAAGTAAAAGACATGAAACCCCTTTTTGGAGAAATGTTAGACTTATTTTAATATTTAAAAGAAATAGAGGAAGAAGGATGAGGTTTGGTCTTCTCTTCTGATTTCTGAAACTGCCTTAATGAGAGTGAGAAGTACTGTTCATGGAAAGTGTGTCCCTACACACACACAAAAAAAAACTGTCTTCACTGCCATCTTCAATAATACTTTACAGGACCCCCCCCCCTCTCTCGTCCTAGTCCCAACGCATCATCTTATTGAGTTAAAAATTATATATATCAAATTTTGTTTATAAGCTATGCGGATCGAGTCGCTTCCTAGTTGTTGTTGCAACGAAACATATGGTAGGAAAATGAAATATACATGGTTAGTACATAAGACTAATGAAACCAACATATCAAATCTAGAATAAGAATAGTTGAATGATGGTTTTAAACATGTCTTATCTTTAGTTTACTATAAAAGAATTGGAAAAATATTTGAACACATTGATTATATTAATTAAAATTTTGAGGGAAGCTTAAAAATAATTTAAGACTGTCTTGGATACTATTATAAACATATGATTTGAAAGACATCCAACTTTATATTTTCCTCCAAAATTTGAAGTTCTCTGATTCCAATATTATTGTATTTATTATTTTATTTGTTGGGCAGACATTATTGCAATAATCTAATAATACATATAAATTCATTTTGAGTCATATAATACGGCTATTTAGTCATATAATTGCATGGTTAGAGTTTTTTCCAAGCCTTGATTTCATACATGCACCAAAC